GTATTAAAATATTGCCTCATAAGAATCAAAACTCGTAATATCCTTAAAATCGTTTGTTAAAAAATAGTTCTACATTTTACAAAGACAAAAATATAATAGATTGAAATATCCAATTCTTAATCAAACACAAATGTGGGTTTGAAAGCATAAATAAAAACCACGAATTTAACCATATAATAGCTTAAATAGAGAAATCAATGAAATACTTGTATGCTTGTGTGGCCTGGGCATGAGGAGAGTCTCCATACCAAGTTCGGTCAATGTGAGTTCCAGATGGACATTGCTAGATTGATTCTCTAATTATGCTGATCCAGAATAGACATTATTTATGGGATCGGAGATTCTTCCTTCTCCCAGTTACGTAATTTTTATCCTTCGGGTCCGGGGTATAACCAAACAGTTTATATGAGCATAGTACAATGTACTAGTATATCAATAGCTTTATCAATGTCATTATTTATTTCTTTATAACATCGAAAATTATGGCACTATCACGTATTCATCCCTAGTTTCAAGTATTTACCCCGTGCCGTCCCCAGCTGCCATTCACATTCATCTCCATTGCTTCGCTAAAAAGTGTAACATCATGCAAATTAATGGTCATGTGCCAAACGAGAGACAACAATATGGTAGCTGCAGACAAACAATATTTCGACGCCGTGAAATCATAATCGTCAAATTAACGCGCGCATCTTGTTATACCATTCCCCTCAGAAAAAAGTGTAACTTTTTTGTAAAGCTCCAAATTGGTGCTTCCTCCGTATGAAGCAGGGAGAAGGAACAGCTGGGACATGAACGAAACGAGACAGAATAACACGAAAAGGAATAAAACTTAAGTGGTGTGTCCATGTGGAGGGGGGTGTGTTTGTCTGCGCGAGTGTATGTGTGCATGTGCATGTGTGTGGGTGGGTATCTGAGCACAAAGAGCGTGAGAGTGAAGTTTTCATTGCACGCGTGCGAAGCTACAGGGCCACTCAGGTGTCACTTCAGTCGGAGAGCCAAGCAGCCAGACGGACAGAAAGAGAGACAGACATAACTGAGGGGGATGAGGGTGTACAACCACCCGCCTGCCTGCCTGCCGGCCTGCCCGCTCGTCAGTTAAACGAATCTGGCCGTTTAATCAGCGCAATGCCATGACAGATAACTGAATGGGCAGAGCACAAGAAATCACATGCCAGGCGCGTCCGACTGACTCAGCGCAATAAATTGGTAAGAAGTACGCCCATCTTCACACACACACTCTTTTAGTACGTTACACACTCACATACTCAAGCCAGAAGCATTTTAGGCCATCAAATTTCAGTCATAACAATAACACTGATAGTCCCGCTCGTAAAATAAAACCCTTTTTTGCCCCCTCTAACACACACATCACTGACAGAACCGTGTCTGGCCAGAATGTGCCTGGGATTTGTTTGTACGAATTTGTGTGTGTGTGTGTGTGTGTGTCTGTTGGTCTTAGACTCAGGCTTCAAAAACAATCAAGCGAACGAACGCGCGCGACACTAAAAACATCGCATATCCATCTGCATAGAAATTCGACAATGGCACTTGGACTCTGCTTTTCTTTTTTGGACAGTACAAGGTGGCGACGGTTGGGAATAGCCGTGAGTCCCATTCGGTAGCGACGACGCGGTCAAAAGGCGAGCCCCTAAAGCATTTAAATCCTTTTCGCACTTTGCTCTTATTGTGCTTGTTGCTGTGATGTGATGTAGTTGTTGCTTGTATGTTATATGCCCTCCAGTTCAGGACTCCAAATTTCCGGAAACGGTGCGTATGAGTAACTATGTATATGTATATTACGCATACGCAGCTTTGACTGCTGCCAGATAGCTGCTTTATCACGTTTCACTTTCAGTCTCATAGCCGACTTTGCCTTACAATGCTGTAGTGGATGAAGTGAAGTGTGTCGGCCTATTTGCTTTTTGTTTAACGTCAAGGATCAGGCATGCCGAATACAGCCGCCAGTCATGAATATATGTATGTATACGAGTATATGGGTGTGATAGGGTCTGTGGGTGTATGTGTGGATGTGTTGAAACCGTAAAATAGGAATTTACTTTATTAAAATTTTTCGCTTCAAAAATATGAGACAACAATGGCAATGAAAATGACGATGACGACGACGACGACAAGAGATGAGAACGTCGAAAAAAACAACAACAAGCATGGCAAATTTGTAGGAAATCCACAGGCAACACAAACAGTCACACACACATACACATATACCAGTACATTGGTGGCAGTCCATATATAGAACAAGTTTGCCAATAATGTGCCCCATCATGAACGAGGTAAAAATGTACTCAACTATGAACTTGGCAACAAAGCAGGCACAAAAAACAAGCCTTCGCCTGCCTCAAAATACATACTCCCAACTCGTATATATACTTATGTATGTGTATATGGAAGCGTGCGAAATAGGCTCGCGTTTACGTTGCGTATGCTATAGAGTGCAAAGGTTACGTCGCGCCTGCTGCTGGCAAGGGTTCTCGCGTTCTCATCTCTGTATTTGACAGTTCTATCTCGATAAGCAGCACGAGGGTAAAAAGCGAAGCTGTTGAAAATTTATATAAATTGACAGCCAGTACTCATAGAGTGTATACTACGAGTATGTGTGTGTTACAGCAACTGCAAATTGTATGCTAAATTACGCGCCACAAACCAACGAACCAACTTCGTATACTACACATACTATACACATAATGTGTTTGAGGGTTGACGATGCTGTTGAGGCGAGGCAACTTTTTGGCATTCTTTGCCAGCAGCACCAAATTATGTGCGAGAGCACAAAATAATGAAATCGTAAAGAGTTGACTCAAACCCTTTACCCTCGGAGAGCCACCAGCCCTATCCCTCCAAATATTAGCCCTGCTCGACATTACTTGACGTTGCTCTTGCTTATGGCTTTCGTATTTAAAATTCATTTCTATTTCATATCTATGCAAATATTATTAATATTAATCATAGCTTACCGCTTTCTTTGTGGCCTATTTATTAAATATATGTACTTATATTATTATTTATTTATTATTATTTATTGATATTTTTTAATATAAAGGACAATTTTCTAATATATATGAGTCTTAGTATGGAACTCGATATAATCTTATAGATATGCCAATTGATAAATTGTTTTCTATGCAAAAAGTCTTCGACTACAAAATGCCAGCTGAACGTTCAAAATCGCATATAACATATGTTCTTGAAATAATAATATCTTGCTTGGACTTTGCCATTTGGCTAGCCCTGAATATCTTTTGTGCGCGAATTTTCATTAAGTTCTTGCAATTTGCTGCTTTTCAAACCACAGATTTCTATGCTTATAAATAAACAGTGCAGCTTTTGTTAGCGCGCCAGTTTCAAGCTTTGTCCACATCCAAGCACCTCATTCTCCCACACCACCATCCCCTTTCCGTTTCGCACTTTATAGCCATATGCTGCACCGAGTTGAGATTTATGAAAGCGACACGACAGTACAGACTGCACTAAAAACAACTGCAGCCACCGCACAGTGTGATGTTTTACCTTTCCTTGTAGATAAAAGTTTATCCAAAAAGTTCATAAAATATTGTTAGCTAATAACAAAAATTATAAATAAATGAATGATTGATAAACTAGCCACTTAAATGATAGCACATTAATTTTATTAAACTTGCATTTACAATAAAAATAACATATAATAATATTTATAATTTATTTAATATAATTTATTTATATTATTCCCAAACTTTATGTGATATCGACAACGCAATCCTTTCTTGATGTTTTTTGTTGAAGAATTTTTTAGGCATTAGGCTCTAGATATTTTTTCCTTGCACATTTTGAAAACGTCCATTGTCCTCTGCAACGTGGCCAACTTTGCCGTCGCTGCCGGCTGCTCTTTTGTTTTTTTTTTTTTGTATGTGTTTTTGGAAAATGCGACGCGCCGAACAGCGCGTTAAATGCTTTTGTTGATTTTTGGCTGACTTTTTGCAAAATTTAATAGTTTGGCAGCGGCAAGAAATGAACTACCGCTGCCGCTCCGGCGCTACTGAATTGGAGTGGGCGGCCTGACTGTGACTGTGACTGCGACTGAATGCAGTCTATGACAGCAGTGGGCTACGGGCTACTGGCAAGGGGCACTGGGCAGTGAGTGTGTCTTGGCAAATAGAGGAAACCCCGCCACGCCCACAATTGGCTTTTGTGCCGTAGCGAGAGCTGTGAGAGTTGGCCAACCGGCTAGAACAAGGACTGTCGGCATTGCTTTTTATTTGTTTGTATGTGTGGGAAAATGTGTTTGTTTTTCATTAAAAAACTTTTCATTCTGAACGGTCAAAGTTCTGAGCTTTGTCGCTTAGCAAGGGGTAGGGGCAGCGGTAAAACCAACACCAACAGCAGCTGCAGCGTAAAGACCGACAGCGGAATGTCCTGTGTTATTGCGGTCAGGATTTGCTTTTTTGGAGACTATATTTTTTCTTTCTATTTGGCTTGGTGCGCTCGCTTCATTGTTTTACTCCGCTTGCGGCGGCATTATTGGAGTGAGCATGGCGTATCTCGGACTCATTGTATTCGTTTGCGAACCATTCGCACATACATACACACATATACTAAACGTACAGATATATAGATGGACACATTTCATAATTCTGGGTTGAGGTGGCCATAAAATATAAAGTCACGTTCTTAATAGCTCTAGCGAGCAGGATGGGACGAAGTATAATAACTTAGCCTGCCACCAAGTCCATGAATATCCCCCTGACACACATATGTCTATTATTAAAAATTAACCTGTACTATATTAAACCCCTATTTAATGATATTTGTTTCATTTTTATTACATTGCGCTCCCTTGAAAGAAATGAGATAACTTTTTGGAAATACATACAATTTTTTAAGAATCACGCTAAGCATTTTGATGAAAAGTGTGATTTATTGTCGCAATATTATATTTTCTCATAGCAGTGTTATTAGTTTCAATTGAAGGAATATTAAATTAATAGGATACACTTTCTTTGCAGCTGTCATCTTTCTACTATCGCCACCACAATGCTATGCCCAACAACAGAAATTTCGCACCACACCGCACGACCTGCAGGTGCTGGAGGGTGCCGAGGCCATGATGCGTTGCGAGGTGGCCAATCAGGCGGGTGCTGTGCAATGGACAAAGGATGGCTTCGCCCTGGGATTTTCGGCCGTGATACCGGGCTTTCCGCGCTACTCTGTGCTCGGTGATCGTAAGCAAGGAGTCTATAATCTGCGTATCTCAAATGCATCCATAAACGATGATGCTGAATATCAGTGTCAGGTGGGACCAGCACGTCTCAATTCGGCTATACGAGCCAATGCCAAGCTGACTGTTATATGTAAGTAGATGCATGATATTTTATGAACGAGAAACAATGTCCTTAACTGTGTTCTTTCTGCATTGCTGCAATTAATTTAGAGCAATAAATACAGCTGAATTCGTCATCCTCTCTCTTGCCATTCTGCTGTTATGTCTCCCTGCCCAGTGCTCCACTTTCCTTTCATTGCACCTTTACAATTCTCACTTGGAACACTTAAATGCCAAATACTCGCACACGGGCAGAGGACTGACTGAGTGTGGCTATGAATGTGGGCATGAGTGTGGGTCTGGGTGGCTAAACTGTTGTCTGTTTGGCGCTGCCAACGTTTATTGTCAGCAATTTGCAAAACAACGACAGTTGGGCAGGAGGTGGAGCACCAACAATGCGAGTTGAGACAAAATTTAGCACAGTTTATTGCTTGAAGGTGGTATATATAGTATGTATGTATGCATAGTGTGGCTGTGTGTGCGTTGGTAAACAGCGAGCATTTTCAAAGTAAAATGAAATGAAATTCTTGTTGTTTTTGTTTTGTATTTTGCGCAAAAAAAGAGAGAAAAAAATAAGGGGAAGAAATTGCGTGATTGTCTGCGTTGCATTGTTTTTTCTTTTTTTTTGTGTCACTGCTGCCGTTGCTCTGTTGCTCTCAAGTAATCACTTTCTATATACAAACGCACATATGTATGTATATACATACATGCGATATACAGAGATTGTTGTTTTTGTTGCTGTAATCACTCAAGAAATTGTGCCACATTTGATGACAGCGATTTTCCATTCGCTTTCTACCTTTGCTAGCATTCTAATCCATTGCCTTTTCGAAAGCCGCTGCCATTGCCTCGATTTCTTGGTGCAGACCCCAAGGCTGTCAGTAACAACGACCATGCTCACACACACACACACACACACATGCAGTCATAACCCTCACACAAATTCGTACATACATACATACATATACATATACGCTTGCCTAATAACGTTTGTTTAGTTAATTACGCGCTATGAGCTGTGACAATGATGTGCAGGTCCTTAGAAAGAAAATGTCCGTGGCTAGAAAGAAATACATAATAACAAAAAAAATATACTCACGGCAGTCTTTCTCTGTATCTGTCGCATTCGCAGAAGCTCGTTAGTTCTGCCATTACTGCTGTTATTGTTGTTGTTTTTGATGCGAAAAGGTCGTGCGACGTCGTCGTTGTCATCGTCGCACAGTGGGGCCTTCGGACTTTTTTCGTTGCAAAAATCATATCTTCTGAACGGCTGAAGCAATTTTCGTCATTCAAATTTTGTTTGAAAGAAAAATTCTTAAGCTTTGAAACAAGTCATAGCGCATTGTGCTGTAATTTGTAGGAGCTGCGCAATGTGTGCTCAAAGTTGGATTTTGTTGCCAGTGCAATATTTGCCTAATCAAACTAATAAAAAACATTTAATGATACAATTATTTTCAGTTATGTTATATTGTTAGTTTTTAACAAATTAAAAATTGAAAAAAAAATTGTTTAAATATTACAATTTTTTTTTAAATTTAAAAATATTGAAAATTTTTTTTACATAAAAAAAAATTAAAATAAAATATTTTGTTGATATTTTATGATTACATTAATTTTTATTATAAAGTACTGACAGCTGCAATTATTTACATTAATATGTTTTCTTTAAAATAGTCGTCTACATTCGAAGGAATATCTAATAATTTCACCATGTCCGAAGAATAATTACTAACTAATTCTTTGTGAGACCTCACATGTCTAAGGGATGAAACCAGTGGATCTGAAGAGGCTGACAACATATTGAAGAGATCCTCGTTTTGCCTTATTCGTGACGTCTTGCATGTGTTCAAATATCTGAATTTTTTATAGTCCTTGTTCCTCGACTCTTGGGCTTCCTCTGACATTTCTCCAATTGGTCATGAAGTGTTACTTGCACTGACTGTTCCGTCACTATTGTGGGCTGAGGTACTGCCTCTTTCTTAGCCGATCCTATTTGTTTGTACCCAGGAAGAACATCAACATTATGCCGAATTAGGGAATGTCGCAATATTAAATATTTTTCCTTTGACAATCCCAAATCCATAAACAATGCCAAAGCCTCATCGGCACTGAACTGCTTTGGCAGTAAGTTTGGCGGAGTAGGAATGCTTTCCTTGATCCTTTTAAGTCGCACTGGGCTTGCGTCAGCAACCGCTTTTGTGACTTGCGATTTTATTTTTTCCTGATCCTTGGTGTATTTCATGGACAGCGCCTCCGACAAGTGATCCGTAGCTATGGCTTCTGTGACATCGACAAGCTTTCTTTTTCTTGTAAAATCCGAGCATTCTTCAATGGATTTCGTTGTTCTTCCTCTGGCTCGTCCAGTTGATGTAGAGGGTACATCGTCCATTGATGTATCCAAGTACGTAGTCGTTGATAGCCAGATTTCATATTTTAAATCAAATTTCTGCTTGCTATATCCTACGCTTATCCATTTCTGTTTGATTTTAGAATAAATTAATTTAAGCTTATTTCTCAACATTTTTTGCTGATCTGCACTTTCCAGAGCATCATACAGCTCTTCCAGAACAGCTTCTTCAAATTCCTTCCCATCATTGGAATTCCTAAATAGATCAAATAATGTTGCATTTTGCACAGCCATGTTAAAGAAAAATCACTTTTAAGGTATTTAAACGTAAATTATATTGAAAAATACTATTCACTGCTAGTTAGACACAACTGATTGCTTTTTAAGTCAAAATTCGACTATTACGCTGCACCAAAAATATTGGCAATATATACCATTTCTAAACGCATACCTAAGATAATAAACTAAAACCTCTTTTTGCCTGTTCAAATGCTTTAAAGCAAAGAAATTACAATTCATGAAAGGGTCAAAAAGATTGCAAGACCTTCACCTGATATTGTAAATTACACTACCTGTAATAAATGTTATGCATAATTTTGGTTGCACAATATTAAATGTGGATCAAATAGGACCGCTTAGGTATATTTTTGTATCCATAATGCTAAATACAATGTTCCTAATAGCCGTTACAGCGAATCTACCTGCAATGCATTCTTCTTCTTATACCCGCGGCAGCGCCTTTTTCGCTGATTTTTTTCCGAAGTTGCGGCACTCTTTTTGCTCTGGTGCACACCGGCGGATCCGGGCGGATGAAAGTTTTATTGCGTTAGGTAAAAGAATATTTAGGGAACATATTTTGAAAATATGGGCGAGGTACTTTTGGGTACTTTTTTTGTATTTTCCATCAAAGTTGAAAAACACCCTAAAAATAGGTAGTTTAAAAAATAACGTTTTCTAGATAACTACAAATACGAAAGACATAGTTTTTATTAAATAATGCATAAAATTAATTCATCTAGCAATACAAATCAAAACATCAATGATTCGTTTCATAACTTAGCTAATATTATACCTGAAAGATGAAGTATTTGCATCAAATTGAATTAATTGTTGCGAGCTTAAAAAAGGGTCGACTTTGAGTGCACATATGTCCTAAACTATAATTCCGATTTTTTTGAGAGTAAGATTTTCGTAATCTTTGGAAAAAAAACTATTAGACACGTTTATTCATTACTCCCAAAGCGTTCATGAAAATTTTGATTTTCGCAAGCTGTTTCGGCCTAAGGCCCCACTGTGCGTCGTTGCAGCCCAAAGGCGTTCATATGTTTTTCATAATTGTGCGTCTGCCTGTCTCTCGTGTGGATGTGGGGAGGTGTGAGAGGCTGGGGCTTCATCTTTGTTTATTCTGTAATGGAATCTTCCTGATATCTCATTTTTACACTGCTTGTACTACTCGTGCCTGAGTGTGGCGACGTCCCTGGCACCCATATACAGACAAACGAGTATGTACTATACATGTATCATATCCGTCTCTGAAACAATCTAGACAACTCACATTGACAATCGCGAGCATCTCATTCGAGTCGTTGTGGCTCACGTGTGATATTGCAGCAATTAGCTGAAAGAAAATATATACAAATGCGTAATAATTCAATTAAGTTCGAGTTACATTTATTTGATTTATCTATTAAGATACATTTGTTGTGCGTCCTTTCTTCCTCATACACACAGTGTAATACGGCCAGTATTAAGTTAATTGTGCTCCTTTTCGACTGAGTAAGCTACATTTGTAGGACATTTGCGAACATTTCTACAATTACATGACGCAATTTTCTATTTCCATTTGTAGAGAGGAAGCTGCTGTCTCTGGCACTTTATTGCCGAAGGTAAATAGCCTTTGATAATAGCCTTTTACGAAATGTCTGCAAATGCGAAAGCACAACCCGTCTCACAAAAGTCTGCACAACAACAAAAACAAAATTGTCAAATTACAGTAAGAAGTGCAATGTTCTTAGAATTAGCAGCTAAGTATGCGTATGTGTGTGTGTGTGTGCGTGTATATGTTTCAGCATTGGTGGTATCTCGTTACTTAACGCCAACGGCATTTTGTAGCAAGAATATTTTCCTTTTTCTTTTGGTTGCAAACACATTTTTGCAATGGCAAAGAATTTTATGCTCCGATTGAGGGGAAGGCGGAGAAGATTAAAAGAACACAAAAGACATCGTTGACCGAAACTTACTCTTTCTTTTCAAAACTTTAACTAACTAAATCATTGCGAACATAATTGTCATTTACATTTCCTACTAACGATTTCGTGTTTGGCATATATTTAATATTCTAAAGAAAGTGTAAAGTAAGATATTTATGCTCTTTCCAAGTTATGAAATGATTGGATTTAATTTAATAACCAAGACTGATTAAATAAATACTAACGAACACTTAATTGCGCTCTAACGTAAACTGAAATTTTCGAATACATGTGACAAATCTCCCAAAAATTATTAACAAGATATTGACTACGAATATCTTAAATTCCCGCCTGACTATGATACACATTTTGTGCAGTTCAATAAACACATCCTCATCAAGGTTGGTTAGCTTAATCGGTCAACGAAAGACAAATAAATTTTATGCCACTTAGTGCCTGGCGATATTTATGTACTTGTATTTACGTCACATATAG